CATTGAAGTTGCAGGTGCAAAGGGCACGTGGGAGCGTCGCTTTTGACTTATCTCCCGGTAAGACGAGGGAGAAATGTACGAGCCGAGTCGACCTTTTGTGTTCTCTTCACAATTGTATATACCTATACTGGTGTAAAATTTTCCAGCTGCAACGAAGGGAGTGAAAAATGTACCCTTATAATAATACTCATACCGATTTTCGCCGTAGCTCGCGAAAACAACATGTACAACATGTATATTGACTCCTGGCTGTACAATTATTATCATCGATATACATGCAATGCACGTACACGCAGCCTCGACTCTTCTGCGAGTTACGCTCGTTAATCCTCGTACAATATACCTATGCATAAATATACGCGTAGGGTCGTTGCACCTCCCACGCGTAGATCGGCCACGAATCGCAGCAGCTGGTCTCCCGGTTACGTCACGGCGGCCCCGCGTATGTATATATATACTTACAACTCGCCAACGGGAGCAAAAGAGAGCACGGCACCGTTGATCGCGCTCTCTTGGCTCGGGATATGCCGTGTGCCATGTACACATCCTATATATACAGCGGGACCGGAAAGCGAGCCCCTATATACAGAGCCACGCAAGTGGGCCACTCTTGAAGCGGATGAACAGGTGAGCAGACGTAAATCAGGGTGAACTCGAGCGAAAGCGCGAGAGAGGAGCCTTGGACCGAGACCAGCTGCTGATGCTGTTGCTCCCGTATACATACATAGTACATACACGTTCCCATTATATTATATACACGCCATTCATCTGCAACGCGTTGTTTGGGTGTGTGTACGTATATGTTATTATTTGTACGTGCGTGTGCCGGTTGTGCGCTAACGTCAGGTGCGTCTTTGTTGGGAGTAGATACACCGCACGCTCCTCGAGACTTTTTAACCGCACGCGCGGTGACACTCGAAACTTTCCTCGCGCACGAGAGTATATATGCTTGATGATCTTTTTTATCCTTCCTTGCTTGCTTACTTGGGATGCCAATATAAAAAACGAAAAAAGTGCCGCGTCACGCGCACCCATGTGTATACATGCACATGCGGGAGATGATGGTTGGACGCGACCAGTGTTTGTATTATGTACACAGCGAGATTTTTTTTTTTTTTTTTTTTTTTTTTTTTTTTTTTTTTTTTTTTTTTTTTCGACAATGAGTAGCACACGGTGCAGCGAGCAATAACATATAGGTATTAGGTAACGAAACGACTACTGGAGCGGCGGGGGATGAGACAAAAAAAAGTTGTATCAGATAGTTTCTACGTTCAAGGATGACCTATCGGTGCGTGGGGTTGAACAATTTCTACCAATAACAATTCGTTTTACATCAGATACGTCAACGATAGCTCCACGAGACCTATTTTATTTGCAGAGCTCAGAAAGATAAAAAAAACTCTAGCTCGAAATTACACGTCTTACGTCCTGACGGTGCTTTAGTCGGGCCGGTATTATTGTTACCTAATTATTGTTATTACGAGCGATGAAAAAAAAAAAAAAGCAGCACAGCAGCGAGTGCAGAGGCGGTGTGAGATACCTATGCCTATACCCATATACTTATTGCTGAAAGGCAAAACGGGAGGAGGAGAGAAATACTACAACCCGAGTATGGAAACCCCGAGCAAACACCCATAGGCACAACGAGCGACTTACGCAATGTTATTCTACTTTCGAATGCGGTGTGTTGCGACCACGTTTCACGGGGACTACGACGTCAAGTTGACAGTTTTACCTTTGCCTCTACTTTTTTTTTTTTTTTTTTTTTTTCCTACTCCCCTTTTATACTTATTCGGTCCAAGCGCATAAGTAGTAAAATACTTTTAATGAGCTCTACCTGCAGTTGATTGATTACGCGGTGGTCCCGGTTTAGTCTCTTTTGTCCATGTGCACGCGTAATTGAGCTGTCGATTCATTTGGTTGTATAATGCACGAGAGCCGCTGCCACACTGCCGGTCTTACCATTAACAGTATACTTACGGGTATATACAATACATAATATACTTGATGTGTCACACATAGGTCCCCTGTATACATGCAGATTTTCTGACGTTTTATAACGTGCCCGGAGAAACAGTGATTTTCCAGTGTTTGTTTACCAATTCCATTGTCGAGGAAAATACATTTGAAAAGCTCCTTCTTTTTTTTCAAAGAGATAACTCGGCCCTGTTTATTTACAACGTAACATTCTTACATCATGTGGATGGTCCAATAAACTTCACTGAAACCTTACGACCAAAAACAATGTAAGTCGAGCAGTAGCAGCGGGGGGTGGACTAGTTGTACTTGTCACTCGGTATATAAATGTACAACCAACGACAAGTGCCCGTGCCCATACACACCAGCAGCGTTTACCTGTACCGTATACATTACACATCACGATCCGAGGTGTTGACTGTCGCCTTGGGAGTGCGAGCGATAAATTCGCGCGAGATTTAACACCACGGCGAGCTATACGGAGCTCCTCCTCCTCCTTTCCTGCAGCAGCGTTTGTCTCCCCCCCCCCCCCTTTTGTCTCGACGATTTTTACAGCTCCGCTCGTCCTTTCCGTCCCTTGCACGCACTCGACCGGACAAAAGAGAGGAATGTCCGGTTTTTCGAGACATCGCTCTTCTGTTGGAAGTTAGGGAGGGTTTTGTTCTCACGTGGGCCGAGGTAAGTTAATGGGCCCTGTGGACTTGTCACGCATTGCATTGTTGCGTCCTAGGAGAGATCAATGAACTCGTGAGTTTTCCAGTAATGTAGTATAGTTGGCTGCGAAGAGAGAGAATTTTTAAGGGAGGAAAAACAAAACACGCTTTTTCGTTACAAGTCTGAAAAAGGTTTGCTATAATGGAAGCGTCGAGTGTTGGAAAAAGGTAAATTTGATACCCGCTATTTTACTTGTATATCAATTTACCCATCACCTCTGGGGTATAATCAAGTAAAACTAAAGTAGATTGATATACTTTTGTGTCTTCAAGCTGGTGTATTGTCGTGCCGAGGACTCATATTTTTTGTGGAGGATAGGTATGAAATAATTGGTACATCAAAAAATGCCCCATAAAAATGCAACTGCATATTTGATGAAGAATGTAATATCAATCTCTACGAATTAAAATACATACAAGGGGGTACATTGGGCAGCCCTGTTGACTCGTGCTGAACGGCACTTTTATATACAATACATTTAAATATTTGAGAGGAGTATTTTTGTCCCGCTCGCGTTTGATTGCAACATTTACACTCTCACATTAAAAAAAAAAAAATTCCGTGTCCCAGAAAAACATGGGAATAAAACTAAAATTCCAATACCTCATCTTAATAAAGCTTTCAGCGGCTGTGATTCCTTTCCCATGAATTATTTATTAATACACTTACAACAGGACAGCGAGAGAGAAAGAAAAAACGTCTCTATCATAATACCTGCGGATGTATATGTATATATTATGTATATAATAATATACCGCAGAAGGACACAAAAGCGACAACAACAACGGCAGAAGCATATAGCAGCTGGTCAGCGTTCGGATGCTATACATTCGAAATTCCAATACGATGTTGTAGAGTGGAAAAAAAACCCGCAGACGTGTGTATAGGTGTATCAAACTCGACCTTTTGAAAGAGAAACAGAAGGAGATATCCCTCATAGAGGAGCATCGGTGTACACTGCAGGCATCTGGAAAACGCGGGCGCGCGAGGAAGAAAAGATCAAAGCAGGAGAGAGACACCGGGCGAGGTGGAGGGGGGGAGGGAACCCTTTTAAACAGTATCTCAGCATTTACTGTTTATCAACGGAGCCTTTGGTTTCGTTAAAGCGATTATGTGTAGGCTCTCTCTCTCTCGTTCGCGCGCGAGTGCTCTCGGGTGGAGAGGAGGAACGATCCAATCTTATCTCCGGACGAGCGCGAGGGACCGCGCATAAATTATTCCGCCGAAAGAGGGGGGACAAGTGAAGATGAGGAGACTCGGATGTTTCGAAACGAGGGGGCTTCCCTTCTCTCGTTAAAAAAAAAAAAAAAAAAAAAAGAGAAAGAAAAAAAGAAGCGGCTCTCGTTTTCCCAAGATTTTTGGTACTTATATTCTCGGACAACCGAGACCACGACAAAGCCGGAGAGAGTTCACGGCTGCCCTAATCGGAGAGCGGAGGCTCCATTTGTACGTGCGTAGTTTTTTTTTTTTTTTAATCTCATTTTATGGATGCATTGTAAGACGGGCATCCAGCTTCTTTGGGATAACTGTTCGCGGTGATGCCGGATGGTGATAGGGAAAAATCTGATTGCCCGCGCGCATACTTTGACTCGTCAGATTTTTTCGTTCCTGGAGCGATGAGTCCGAGTGCGCGAAAAAGAGAGCCGTTCAACAATAAGTATGGGTAGGTACGTAATAAACGCCGTGCCAGGGAATCTTCGTAACTGTTGTTGTTTCCTCCGCTTGCACTTACTTACGGTTTTTTCGGGAACGCATCGCACGCGCATCGCCTTCGTAGTGCGAATAATAACAATAACGGGTCGAGGCCAAAAGGCTTTGGCGTGCTGAATCGAGAGCGAGACTGCAACTTTTTTTTTTTTCTCGGTTGCAGTATCATATCGGTGTATCTGTAAGTAAGTTTGGACTCGGTTGATCGGTGAAAAAGTTCGTTTTTGTGCATCAAGTTACTGCGTGTTTTTCGCAAGTGTGTCAGAAGCGCTTTTAAAAAAATGATTGGTCACAAGGAGAATTTCTTATTTTTTCAAAGTTCCAACTTTGTTGACGAATGAATAGGTTCAAAAGAGGCCACATTTACGTGTGTGGGACGTGATGATGTTGGTGATGCATGAAAAAAAAAAATCTTTAAGAAATAAGATATTTTAAGATTTTTTTATAAAATCTAACGGGAAAAAAATTCCCATGTTTATTTAAATTACAACTTTTGTGTTATTTTGTGTAAAAAAAAGAAAAAGAAAGAAAGAAACAGTAAAATACAAATAATTTTGCTAAAATAACGTAACTTACAATATTAAAACTTAAATTTGCTGCAATAAAATAATTTTTTTAATCATACAACGATTGATAAGCTGCTTATATATTTTGTAACAATTTTTGAAGTTTACTTAAATCTCTATTATACTGACAAGTTGCACAAATCTCACCAAAATGTCTATGATTGTTTAATTAAGTTGTAACTTTCCGCACAATACTGTTTGAAACAACGCACCTGTGACTTTTTTACAGCTTTTGTTATGTTTTGTGACAAATCTAATGGGTCCTGAATACACATGGGTGAATCAAAACGAAAGATCGAGAGTTCGTCTGATTTCAAACGTTGTTTGTACAAAGCAAATTCTGTCGGCAACGACTCAGGACGCGCAAAGGTGCTTTTTTTCATTGATTTACCTATGTATGGGCATAAAATGCTTGTTCTGTAATCGTAATTTGCATAGAACGAGAAAAAACCTTTGAGATGATCCTTGAAACTTGAGTTTGAAGGAGTAACGTCTACTGATTCAGGAAAACCACACTCCCATCCTGTTGATATAAAAAATTAGTTTGAAAAAAAAAGACTCAATCATGTTGATATAAACTATTAGTTTATAAACTAAAAGTTATTTATAAACTAAAAGTTATTCTTACCATCGACGACGTTAGAACGATTCTTCAGATCAATTAATTTCCGTACACTTGGTAAAATTTTTTTGGTTTGCAAATAAAAAATAACAAACCAACAGATGGCAAATGTTGTGATACATTCAGATCCAGCTAGTTTGCAGCTAGTTAGCCATTCCTTTAAATACAGGATTAGCTGACGACAGATGGGATAAGCTTGGTTATACTTCCTAAAACAGTAATTTTTTATGGAAACCTTTGTTAATCGATTGATTGTGTGATAAAAAATTTTTTTTCTTACCCGACAAGTGTGGATTTTTCAACACCAAGACCATTGGTAACAGATATATCACATTTCAAGCTGGCAGGTATGTGTCGCAGTTTTAAAATAGGTACTCGGGTATCCAATAAAACTTCATCAATGATCCAAATATTTGGATAATCTTCAAAAACTGTCTCAATCGTTAACAATATTTTTTGAGCTGCTGTTTGACTTGAAATTTCATGATACTTATTTTGGCAGTCTAAAAAAACGTCTACATCACTGGTTGGAAAACCCAAGTTGGATATTCTTGATCCAAAAGTGTAAGCAGTTGCATGGGGGTATATGAACTTGACTGTATTCTCGATATCTTTCAGCAACTCAAGCTCACTGCCTTTTTCAAAAATAGTCTCATCAGACCTCTTTATCAAATTATCGACTTTCATTTCTGCATTTTCCAATAGATCGATGGTTTTACATGACATTTTAGACTCTGTGAAATCACCGTTGTCTGTAAAACGTCTGTGATACAAACTTTCGCAATGTACTTTGTATGCATCGGTTTTACCAAACCAGAAAGTTATACAGACAGGACAGAAGTCAAATTTCAAAGTCACATTTTTTTGACTCAATTTATACACTTTGGATAGATGAACTGCCATTTGCAAATGTGCGACGAAATCCATCTCATAATTGTACTTTGTGTCACATACCAAGCATAAAAACTTCTGTGAATAGTACCAAACATTTTCAAGCAGGTTGTAAATTTCGTCTGATAGCTGTTTTGCAGAATTTTTCCAATCTTGAGCCTTCTCGACGTGGCCTGCCATTTTAATGTGCAAATTAATAGTGGTGGTGTCATCTTTGATATTCGTTTCACAAGCATAACAGTGGATAAATTCATCACACTTTTGAAACATGTACTGCTTAGCTAATTTAAGATCACTGAATTGTTCAGGAAAATCAACAAAGGTTTTATCATTGTCCACCATCGTTCTGATGTTTTTAATGTGTTCAGAGTCATGCAGATGTTCATATATAAGATTCTTGGCAATGGGAAGTATCTTATTGCATGGGAAGCATAATGTTTCAGGTGGTTTCAAAGGAAACATCAAACTGACTCCTAGCTTGAGCAAGAAAATTTTGTTGGAATTTAGGTTGTACATATTGTTAGGCCCAGGTTCAATACAAAGTTCGATGTACTGATTACCAAATAGTAAATTGTTTTTAGTAAAAACTTGTTTTTCTTGAAATGATTTTGACATTATAAATTTGGATGAATGTGGACGTGCCTTGTGTGTTAATTTGTTCAAATCTGATTTCATTAGATTATTCAACATTTTATTAAGGCCCAATTGAGTTACTTGACTTCCAGTGTGATTTTTTATTAAAACATCCTTTGTAGGCATATGCACTGGCTTCATGTTTACTAAAGAATCTTTGGCTGATTTCTTGGAGCCTGACTTTCCTAGATTACTCAACATCTTATTAAGGTTTGATTGAGATACTTGAGTTGCAGAGTGATTTTCTTCAAAAGCATCGTCTGTAGAAGTGTTGTTTACTAAAGAATTGCTGGTTAATTTCTTGGGTTCTGACTTTATTAGATTATCCAACTGTTTATTAAGGTTCCACTGATTAACGTGAGTTACAGTGTGATTTTCTTTGAAAATATCCTGTGTAGGAGTCTGTACTGGCTTGTTTACTAAAGAATTCCAAGTTTTTGCAGTGGAACTCTTTTTACTTGTGCTTTGAGCAGCATGGGTATAATAGTTACTATCAACTTCCATTAAATTATTACTCAAATGATTAGATTCTTTTGTCATAACTTGATGCTTATGCAAACGAGATAGAGCATGCTCATTAGTTTTCGAAGATGACATGTAGTAGCAGCAAATTTTGCAAAAAGCCTTCTTCTGAGAAAAAGTAAAACACTCACTTGCTACCTTCTGTTGATTAGTTGCCGCATTTTCCTCAGTCCCAAGATTTACTTTATCTTTTAATGCACGTTTATGCTTCTTCCCCTCAATATGGCTTAGTAGATTCATCATACCATATACAGCACAGTTGCACGCATGACACGTAAAAGTGAAATCTCTGTTAACGGTATTGCTGAACGTGACACGATTGTTAACTAACAATTTGCGTTGCATTGTATTCATTGTATCACAAACCGAGTTTCTATTCTGTTGCGTCAGAAGGACGCGATGTTTATCCAACATATCTTGGTGGCTCTTGCTCTTGAAGTGCTGTTCTATCATTTCATAGCTTGGCCGACAGGTCTCGAAATTGCACAAGGTACAATGGTATCCTAATTGATTAAGGAAAACACCCTCTTCCAAACACTTTTTAAACATTTTTATTTGGTTTTGCACACTTGCCTTACCGATTATATTATCCTCAAGAGGAAACAGTACTAGGTTAGGGTGGACAAGTTATACACACACGTTGCACTTGCACTAATGGCACTTGTCACGTCACGCTGATAACAAAATATGAATCACACACATCCATGCATGCACAGGGACTTCCCCTTCCATGTACTTATATATCACATTAAAAAGAAACAGACAATTTCTCCCGCGGCCACACGAAAAGTAAACAATGCCATCAGACAATGCATGCATGGTGAGCTTTCATGCCACGAGCTGGAGGTTTCCGACACACCACGTAAAAAACTTGTCGTAAATGTCATAAACTCGTAATCTTGTAAGAAATGTCAAAAACACGAGAAGTATTTTTTTTTCTACACCGATAACGATGGCTCCAGGAACTCCGCGAATGACTTTCGAATTGGGACATGAAAAAAATATCCAAAATTGCGGAATCGTTAGCAACGTTTGCAATCACTTTGCAAAAAATTGTCGGATCTTCCGGTTGTCTATAAAAAAATAAAAACTAAATGGTCCAGCGAGAGTCCGGATAAGTACGTTGTCTGGCTCAAATACTCCATATACGGCTATGAAACTTACTTTAGTCGTTTGCAATTTAATTGTCGATGATGATTATCTATTGCATTATTGTAAAACTAACAGAAAAACAATGTGAAATAATTATTTCAGTCATTGCGAATGAAGTCTTCTCTGCAGCTATATATATAGATATAGCTCGAGAGCAGACAGCTACCAAACTGGCGGAAAATTCAAATATGTCGCACAGTAGAACAACTTCTATTAATATCAAGATTTATAATTTAAAATAGATATTGAAGAAAAACTAACACATGAGTCATTACAAAAGAACCTTAAACTTATTATTTTTTAAGTGAATTTCGAAAATGTGTTTTTACGTTATGCAATCATCTGCTCTACGTGATTGAAGTCGATTCGGTCTTATCAAGTTGAATTAAATACTAAAAAAACTCTGTTGCAGTATGAATTTGCAACAAGTGTGCATTATTAATAGAACAAATTATTGTGATACAATAAGTATAAAACTATCATTTTGGCGTTTGAAAGTTGGTAACGTGAGTCAGAGCAAATATATATATATATAT